AACCTTCCTGAAAGCGTGTACTTCGTTGTGTAGCTGTGGGTCTTGACAGGTACCCAGTATTACTTGAGGGTTGTCTTAAAGGGACTGAATTCTGTATCTACAAATTGACATTCAGGACATTCTCTTGATGCTTGGTGTTGCTTTTCACCCATGACATCAATGCAAACAAACAAACAAACAAACAAACAAACTCAGACACCCACCCAAAATGGAGACCTTGCTGAGGAATTCCTCGTACATCTTCCGTTTTCTTAATGTGCTGCCCTGAATTGGAAAGACAGAAAAGGTAGAAGGTTAACGGACATCAGAACTGCCATGCTGGATTTAGACTAAAGGCCATGGAAGAGAGAGGGAGAGGAAGGGAAGGTGGCTGCAAGCTGCTTTGAGACTCCTTTGGGTAGAGAAAAGCAGGGTATAAAAACCAACTCTCCTTCTGCTTCATGGAGAGGAACACTCCTGCCTCAGCTCTTGTCTTGGGGAGGGGCCATGGCTCAGTGGCAGAGTGTCTGCTCTGCATGCAGAGTCTCCAGTTAGAAGGGACACGCCATAAGTGAGGGGGAGTACCTCTACTTGATATCCTACTGAGCTGCTACCATTCAGAGTAGACAAGACTAACCTTGGTAGAGCTATAGGCTGATTCAGTAGAAGGCAGCTTCATGTGTCCAGGTGTATCTCCCAGAGTGGCCGACTAGAACATGCCTGTGGACTCATAAGAACATAAGGAGGAGAGCCCTGCAGGATCAGACCGGTGGTCCATCTAGTCCAGCATTCTTTCTCACACAGTGGTCAACCAGTTCCTCTTGACAGCCAACAACAGGACATAGAGGCCGAGGCCTTCCCCTGATAAAGACCTGAGAAGACTCCTGTTGGATCAGACCATTGGTCCATCTGGTCATCCATCCTCTCTCACACAACATCCTCTCGAGGTTCAACAGCAGGGCACAGAGGCCAATGCCTTCCCCTGATGTTGCCTCAACAGAGGTGGCTGCTCCCGGTCTCCAGTATCTGATCACCAGACGATCTGATCATCCACTAAACATGGATGTTCCATGTAACTATCAGGGCTAACAGTCCCTTGTGTGGCTACCCTTCATAAATGGGTAAACATTCTCACAACCACTTTTCCCCAATGCATGCTTTTTGAGTGCATGTCTCAAGCCAATCTGCACAGTCCATGGTCTTCACATTACCACCTTAGCCCAGGTGGCACCCGTAACTGCGTGGACCATGGAATTCTTTTAAAAATCAGTTTGTCCTTTTCTGCTGGCTTCACATTACGGGAGAATGCAACCCTACATCACTTGAATGTCATCCGCACGTTGCTTCAGACCAAGAGAGCTGCCCACCTGGATCGACTTTTATAAATATTGTCATAAAAATACTAGTGAATTTGTATGTATGGGGAGTGGATTCTTTCCCAAAAGTAGCTATGAGAATGAGCCTCAATGAGGGCATCATCCCATGTATAAGCATAAATTATTATATTCAGTAATTGCTGGTTGCTTAGGGATTCATGTTCCACCGTGCCTTCCAAGATGCTCAGAGTGACCGTCACAGACCTATCCCCTTTTCCACTGCAGAACAATCAATAGAAGGAGCAGAGTCCTGCGGTACCCTGAAGACTAACAAATGGATCAGAATACATCTGACAATAGCACTACAGATAAGATTAGAATTTCAACAGCCCATCCACATACAAAAGAACCTCCTCAGGAAACAGGAAACCTCCTCAGGAAACAATCCATATGCAAAAGAACCTCCTCAGGAAAGCTCCTCCATTAGCATGTTCACAGCCTGGGGGAACTCCTACAAGATATTGACTCAGCCCTACCCCACCTTCCTGAGTAGATATAAATTACCTGCCTACCTTTTTCTTTTCACCTTGACACAGAGAGTACTCCGTCTTTTTGTGTTATACCTCTGAGGATGCCAGTCACAGCTGCTGGCAAAATGTCAGGTCCTACAATGCCAGGACCATGGCCAGACAGCCGCAAAATCTACAACTAAGGATTAGAAATGAGTTTGCTTGTAAGTTCATGCAGAACTCTTTTTGTTCATGCTACTATGGACTAGGTAAGTATCAATTTTAGTAAAATAATCTTAAGTGTTCTGCAGTTGTCTCTTTTGACACTGTTGGGAAGCAACCCCGCTTAATGTTTTTCTAGTTTGCTGGCACTGTTTGTTTTCTGGCCTCTTTTTATTTTTTGGGTTGTATACAAAGTTTGTAACGGCCTCTGGCCCGATGCAATACATCCAAATACACCTACTACTGACCTGGAAGGCCGATCCTTCTGGAATTTAGATTTAGGCGGGTCGCTGTGTTGGTCTGAAGCAACGGAACAAAGCTTGAGTCCAGCGGCACCTTTAAGACCAACAAAGTTTAATTCTGGGCATCAGCTTTCATGTGGATGCACACTTCTTTGAAGAACAGATAAAAGGAAGTCCTTCTTCACCCAAAGAGTAATTAACACATGGAATTCACTGCCACAGGAGGTGGTGGCAGCTACAAGCATGGACGGCTTCAAGAGGGAATTAGATAAGCATATGGAGCAGAGGTCCATCAGTGGCTATGAGCCACAAGGTATAGATAGGAACTCTCTATATTCTGGGTGCTTGGGGGGGAGGCAACAGTGGGAGGGCTTCCAGTGTCCTGGCCCCACCGGTGGACCTCCTGATGGCACCTGGTATTTCTGGCCACTGTGTGACACAGAGTGTTGGACTAGATGGGCCATTGGCCTGATCCAGCATTGGCTTCTCTTATGTTCTTAAGTTGGTCTGAAGCAACAGAACAAAGTTTGAGTCTAGCGGCACCTTGAAGACCAACAAAGTTTAATTCTGGGTATAAGATGTCGTGTGCGTGCACACTTCTTCGAAGTTGGTCTGAAGCAACAGAGCAAAGTTTGAGTCCAGTGGCACCTTGAAGACCAACGAAGTTTCATTCTGGGCATCAGCTTTTGTGTGCGTGCTCACGAACGCTTATACTCAGAATTAAACGCTGTTGGTCTTCAAGGTGCCCCTGGACTCAAACTTTGCTCCCTCTGGAATTTGTTAACCTTTGAAATTGGGGAGGAGCTGTAGCTCTGCCGTGGAGCATCTGCTTGGCATGCAGAAGGTCCCAGGTTCAATCCCTGGCATTCGTGATCTTGGGGGAAAGACACAGCAGACACAGGTTGGCTGAGAGGCTGGAGGCAGCCAGTTCGGGAGTATCATGAGTAGGAAGGAGCCAGAAATCTAATGAGCCAGCACAAGAGTTTTTCTGAGGGAAGATGGCAAAGCCTGCAAGAGCTTTTACGTCTTCCAGCACCAACCAGTTGGTCCTCCAGCATCATCTGACATCTCAAGTCACAAGAAGCATGGACTGCGACAGTAATTCCTGACTGGAATGTCCTGTGGTTCCCTTCTCTGAGCAACAGCACCTGATCCACAAGGGTTCAACACATGGATCCCCCACCCCACCCTGGTCACGTGGACTCTAAACTGGGAGAACCAGTTTGACTCCCCACTCTTCCAGATGCAGCTGCTGGTGTGGCCTTGGGTCAGTCACAGTTCTCTCAGAGCTATTCTCTCATGAGAAGTTCTTTCAGCCCCACCTGCCTCACAGGGTGTCTGTTGTGGGGAGAGGAAGGGAAGGAGATTGTAAGTCGCTCTGAGACTCTCTCGGGCAGTGAAGGGTGGGGTATAAATCCAATCTCTTCTCTTTTCCTTCTTCCTCACTCCTAATGCAGTAATGTATCCTCCACACACACTCTCTCTCTCCAGTTTGGTGTAGTGGCTAAGTGCACGGACTCTAATCGGGGAGAACCGGGTTTGATTCCCCACTCCTCCACTTGCATCTGGCTGGATGACCTTGGGCAAGCCGGAGTTCTGATAAGAGCTGTTCTTGAAAAAAGAGCAGTTTCTGTGAAGAGCTCTCTCAGCCCCACCCTCCTCACAGGGTGTCTGTTGTGGGGAGGGGAAGGGAAAGGAGTTTGTAAGCCGCTCTGAGACACATTTGGGTAGTGAAGGGCGGGGTATAAATCCAATCTCCTCTTCTTCTTCTTCTTCTTCTTCTCTCGCCAGATTACTCAGAGTTGCGCCAAGTACTTCAAGATCCAGATTCTGCAGATTCTTCTTTTGGATTATGTACCCTGCCCCTGTCCCCCGCCCCACCCCTCTGAAACTGCAACGCAGCCAAAGCAAACAACCTCAGGAGAACATACATTTTTACGCACCCTCCCTCAATCAATTACATCCCTGGGAAGGAACAGGATGGAGATCAAATGAATTCCTAGCAGGACTCCCCTGGCTTCCACACAACACTGTGATCCCC